AAATCATATCAAAAATTTTGAGACTTAAATTTAATTGCGATTGTTTCTATTGTGGTGATAATGAAGGATGAACTTTGTCGTATTCAAATTAATTGTGATTGTCCTATTGTGATGAGAGAGTTTACTCATCTAGTAGAAATTCTATTAAAATTCAATTATTTTTGATAGGGTCGTTAGAAGAAGAGAAAACTTGATTTTAGTTGTAAGAAGAGAATTTTGAAACTGATGATATGTCAAATAAATAAATAACATTTCTCAATAAAGAGAAGTAGTGATCTTTCTCTTACTTTATTTATTTATTTTAATTGTTATAAACAGATCTTTTTGTACTATATAATTAAGCTGATTTAAAGTATGTAATTAGCTTTTTTGTTGTTCGAGTTAAAATATAGGTATTCTCATGGTATTATATTTCTTAAAAATATTATTATATACATGGACTAAAATTTTAAATGAAAAAGTTATTTATACTTTACAAGTTAAAAGAAAATTTTGAACTATAAGGTTTTTTGGATTCCATGTATGACAAAAATATTTTATAGGATCAAATACAAAACACTAGTTATTAATGACAGTTTCGTTAGTCCTTAACATGTCATGGCACACCTAGAAAGCAGGGCACATTAGACGTGCTAGCCTCATGTGTTGGCCAACACACGTCGAAGGGAGGATGTAATTTCATGGATATAATCTATGTCTGTTATTTATAAGTGTTATGCTTGCACTTGTTTTTTTTGTGGCTTTTAGTCATGTCGGATATTACTTGTTCTCATGGACTATGTGTTTGTGCCTATTATTCATTTTGTTAAAATCCTAACAGAAAACAAGTTTTCTAAATTATATTTTTACTCTTAAGAATTGTGTTTTTATGATTTAAAAAAAAAGATATAGTCTTGATTTAGTGGTTATGATTCTCTATTGTTTCTTTTATATTTTTGTTACTCAATTATTAAAGATAAATTGTGTTGTGATTTTTTAATATCATTGATAATTAGATTAGTCACTTGTTTTTTGTTTTATATATTTATGATTATCATTTTTACTTATTATTATTATTATTATTATTATTATTATTATTATTATTATTATATTATTATTATTATTATTATTATTATATTGGGGTGTTGTTTACTAAAAGAATTTTTGGTATTTAGATAGTAGAAATAGACCTGCTTTTAGTAGTTCTTGTGGGACTCCTTGAGACAAGAAGTATTTTGTTGCTCCAATTATATTGTGGATTAATATAAATATTTAAGTATTTTGTTTTAGTTTTAGAGTCACAAATCATATAGGAAAAATCCTTGCTTAAAATATTTTAGTTTGTGTGTGTGTGTGTGTGTGGTGTGTGTCAGAGTAGAACTTCGAATGCCGCCTAGATGTTCTTTATGACAAGTTGTAGAGATTTTGGAAAGCCTAACTTATAGCAAAGATTTTGTGAAAATTTCTATAGTAAGCTTAAATATTTTGTTCCTATTAACAATTATTTAATATAAATGATGATTATATGATAAAATTGTAATTATTATGTTAGATGTGTTAAGTGTTTAGGTTTATAAAATATAAGTTTTTTTGTATTCCAGCCGATCACACTTCAAAAGTTCCAGGTGTGACAATTTACAATAAGTACAACATTCTTAAGCCTCTGAAGCATTTTCTTTTTTACCACCCAATCTAGAGCCAGTAAAAATATTAAAAGAGATGAGTGAGTACGACTAGTTAATAACCAATGTTCCTTTACCCTATGTAATTTCATATTAATTGACATTTTATAGAGAAATCATATATGAGGCATATAATCACACACTCCCTTTGGTCTTATTTATAAGTTTTTAAAAGTAATTTTTGGTCCAAAATATAAGACACTTTATAATAATTAAATCACTTTTTTAATTTTACCCTTTCTTGATTAATGTGATGGTATTTAATGTAATTGTATTATTATTTAAAGCCAAGGGTAAAAATGAAATTACATTTTATTTTTTTTATAATATCAAGAAAAAAACTAACTTTTCTTAAAATGTGTGAAACGATTGAAAGTGTCATATAATAAAGACCGTAGGGAGTATTTCACATCTTCACATATAACTCATGTTATATTTATATAAATCATTATAATATTATCATGTCATCATTTTTCACAAGTCATCTCACAAGACACATTGCCAAAATGCTAACAATCATGTGATAATAGCCCCAAAAAATACAACAATGCACATTTCCACAATAATGACAATTATGTGACAATGGCACAGTCAAATATCATGACTTGTCACAAACTTAACATCCATGTGGCACATCAAATAATATGCACGATCAAACTAATCTTATATCCTTCTTATACTTTTTAGCTGAAACAATGAGCTATAAATCAAGTAGGGTTTTGTCTGTGTGAATGAACTGTCCAAGTTCACCAATTGTGAGGAGCAACCCGGCTAAGGTCACTAGTCTTACTTTCAAACTATAGCTTCCTCTATTTTTGAATCTCTAAGGTTTCATAAACCCTAAGCTAGTCTCTTAGAAGAACTAGTAGAGATAGCTTGCTTCAAGTCAAGTTAGGTTTGAGTCCTTCGGCAAATAATGGGACAATCCCTCAACAAACAGTGAGACAGTGGCTACCTCCCAATTTCAACAGTTAATAGCTAGGCTAGCTTTTGATTCTAACAACAAACAGCCAATACCATATAGATTTTATCTCTCCTCCTCTCCTTAGGTGAACTCTTGCCAATACGATCGTGCAACCACTCATGCTCACATATAGCATGTTATTAGCCACAACAGTATGTCCAATTATTTGTTAGCATATGAAATGAAATAATCATGCATCTTATCTCATTTTACATTTCCCAAGGCGCACAAGCTCATAAGCACAATCACATAATATAACATATTCTACTTCTCATCATTTCATCATCATATATTCACATTACATTGCTCATCATATCATATCAAGTTTTTCTAACAACACATATAACTATAGATATCATAATCATTATCATAATTAAACATGTCATTTTAATCATTCATTCATCATGTTGTGGTTAAAAGCTCATCATAGCTTCGTTTATGCTTTTAAAAACATGTTACATAATAGCAAATATAAAATCTCAACTAATTTTGCTAATCACTTATCATTTTAAAAATGTAAATCAATTAATATACAATTACACAAGATAGATTTTCACAATTACTTGAAACTTTTGAATGGTCAAAAGTTTACCCATCTATTATTATTTCTAAAGCTTGATTTCAAGTTCAAACTGGTACATGAACGATCAATCTACAATTAATTATATCCATACTCATCTATCACCATTTTCACAATTCCAACTCCCTAATTCAACACCAAAAATGGCCAAAGCTTTCCTTCCTAGCATGTAGGCTTACCTATTGGGATTATTAACTCCCTTTAGGTCACATTAACTTAAATAATGTTCAATATTTCCTTTAACAATCCAAAATCATACTCAGAGAGTCTAGGGTTCATCCATTAATGAGAGTTTAAATCCAAGAACGCTTAAAATCATCAAACTTAGGTTTAAATATTTCAAACAACTCCTATTAGCCTCATTTAAATTAATGGATTTAGACCCATCACCATGTAGGTCTGATAATCACTTTCCATAATCAAACCCTAACCAAAGAAATCTATTAAGAGAGGAAAATAGGGGAAGAAAGAGGCTTAGGGAGCTTACCTTAAGTAATTGAAGGCCTTAGAATGCTCCAAATCATTCCATACTCAAGCTTTAGCAAATCAAAACTCGTTATCTTTGTTCTCTCTCTCAAACCTCTTTGCCTCCCTTTATTTTTCCAGTTGATCCATACCTTTTTTACTATCAAATTTGGTTTGTGTGCCACAGCACATGTCACACACCCTGTGACATGTGGTATAGAGAACTCTTCTTTGTGTTTCTGTGACTCATGAGCCACAGCATATTGTGCACGCCCCATAGCATGTGGCATAAATTTACTTCTCCTTGGTTTTCTCCTATTTTGAGGTCCAAATGTCCCAACTCTGCTCCGAACTCAATTCTAAGATTGAAATCACAATTTAAAACATTCACTTACTCTCTATAACCATACATCACATTAATTTGCTTAATTAATCTCATTTAACTTTTTTAATTTGAAATTAATTTTTTAGAATATTATAGAAGTAGCAAGAAGAAAGACATGGCAAGCGTTGCTTCTCATTTATGTTTCTCCCCCTTCTTTGCTATTGAGTACAGCATTGATAACTGTGACCTATGAGCCTTAGCTGTGGTTGACCTCTCACCAAACTAACAACTGACGCACGCATCATCACTTCTCTTTGGAGCCACATTTTTTATTGTTCAATTTTAATATTACTAATAACAATAATCACTAGTCAAAAGCTTTTAGGAATTAACATTTAAACTATTACTAACACACGAATTCCCGTTTACTTTAACTTTATAAATATATTTCAATAATTAAAATATTTTTTTATTTTCAATCATATTTTTTCTTATCTTTTAGATATTTGGGTTTTTAATTTATTTTATTAATATTTTGAGGATTGATATATTTTTATTTAAATTATATTTTTATATATTTTATTATTTTATTCATGATCGGTTTGATCTCAATCTGACCCTTAATTGAACCACTAACCCTTGAATTGCTACCTTAACCAATTTAATGATTGATTCAATTTTCAATACCTTGCTAAAAACAAACCTAACGAGGAAGAACAATGTTACAACATTCCTATTACCATAGATTGCAGCACAACCCCTGAATATTGTTAAAGGAAATAACGATACAAAGCATCACTTCCAATGTGTATGAAAGAAAAAGATACCTGAGGATAAAATATTAAAATCTAAGTCAATTCACCTCAGTTGAATAGATAAATTGTTAAACTAGTATCTTGACTAATTTAATAAAATGTTTTGCTTATGACTGATTTAGTCATGATTCAACCATGATTTTAATTCTTAATCTTTGAACTAGCACCTTACCTAGTTCAATAATCGGTCTGATTTTTAATACCTTGCTTGAGGATGAAGCATTAACAATATGTATGAATTCAAAATTTGAACATCAATCCTATAGAAATGAAATACCAAACATGTAAACAAAATAACACACCAAGCATGGTTCTAATGTACAACAGTACAAGCAGTATTTAGGAACATAATGCTATTGATGATTCATGATACTTCCTTCAGACAGATGAGACCTGAATGGAAGTACAACGCCTGCTTTCCAAGGATTAGCATCAAATGAATCAATATCAGTAGATGCCATCCTACTGAAAGGTCAATAGCTTGCGCGCTACTGTAGGCAAAACAAATCCAATCTGGCCTTCACTGATGTCCAACTTGACATGATATCCATTAGAGTGAATCTCTGGAGCATCCATCACCTTAAGCGAAACCGAAGTTAGTGAGACAAATTTCCAGCAAAACAGCACCAAGAGCTGAAAAGGGGCATATTCTCTACCTTCCAAAAACAACTATGCACAGCCTTAATATGTACCCGAGCAAATTAATACATCTCATATAAGAACCAAAGTCGGCTAATACTTGTGACATTCTGATAGGCAATAACACAACTCTTGAATATACAAATGATAACAGTAACAAACACTTGAATATACAACTCTTGGCACATATGATGTTGTACTTAGAAAGCCATATAGTAAAAGTACCAACAAAACATGGATCATGCATATGGTTAGTTGCTTTAAACCAAATCTCAATTCATACAAGGCGAATTGTATATCCAGATTGGGACATGTGTTTGATGCCTTTCTGAACAATGATCTTTGCACCATATATAAAAAACTTTGATTGCATTATTAATAGCCAGAGCGTAGCCAACAATGCAAGCAAATCACATAACCATTCCCAGAACTTGACAGGAAAGAAAACAAGTGACACCAGTTAGTAACTAAATGATAGAAATGAAGCATAATACTACCTGATTTTTATTAAGAAGAAAGTAAAGATCAAATAAAAAATTACAAAGAGTCGCACAGTTGAAGGAAGATAGAAGTATAGTTTATCAAATATATTCCACAACAGAAGGTGATGAAGCAACTATACACACCTTCAGCAGTGTCTAAATGTCTTTCTGGATACTTCGGTTTCTCAGCATTCTTATTTGAATCATAATAATTTTTAGACTAATTCAATAAAATCAAACAAACATTCTTTAGCAAACTCGGAAAACAGACTTGGAACCAATGCCTTTCTGTCCAATGTATCCAGCATTAGACCCTTTCTTTGTTGAATTTCCAACATCACAAAGCGCTCTCATATTTTCTGCATAGAAACCTTGCTCATTATCCAAAACAATAATTCCAGAATCTCAGAATAAATATCAGTTTTGGTTCCACGTTCTCTGGATAATTATTATCATCTGCACTCTGGACCTGAACCAACATGAGAAATAATTTGATAAATGGACAGAAATACAGAATATTAACCAGCAGATACTAGCAGCATAACCGACACAACATTAAACTGAATTTCCAACACTCAAAACAGTTACAAAATGAATAACTTTATGGTAATCAAACCATTCATAAACAGTGCGAAGTGAAAGTAAAAACTAGAGATGGATACCATATTCCTCGAGAATAATTGCTGTCTCAGTTACTAGCATATTTAGAATACAAGTCTAAAATAAACAATTGAATAGGTAATGTTTATCAATAACATGACACCAATATTCTGAGGAAGGAAGGTCAGGAGGAGTTGCAGCATACACAAATGTTGATCAGGCAAGTTCAATTACAGACAAAAATTCCACAATTAGATACTAGACCGTTGTGTTGAGAAACTTTGTTACTTGGAGATTTATATGAATTTAAAAAAAAAAAATTGATGCTAGAAGTAACGCTGAGGACGAATATCAAGCACTAGTGCTAGGTGTATGCGAAGGAATGTGGACTAAAAGGGTGTTGGCTGAATTTAAAATTAGCATTAAATTGCACAAAGCATTGCCTTCAAGTTATTGATGTCATCGAACAACTTTGATAAGGAAAAGAGCAAGTTCATCTCCCTATAGTAGTTCACGTGCAGCAGAGTTGTGCTTCTCTAAAACAGCATCCAGTGCAGATATCTAGGACTCATCACGTGATTGAGCCTTGCAAATAAGGTCGTATATCATATCTGCCACCTTTTGTAATGACATAAAAAGGCAGGAGGGGCGATTGTTCCTTATCTCTCATGGAACTGTGGATGGGCAGAAACTAATGTAGCCTTTTATGATGAAATCACGAAACTCCGGATTTCTAAGAGTCTGACATGCCAATCAATGACTTCAGGCACATAGGCTTTCTCTTCCCTCATCATTTCAGATTTCATATCAAGATTTAAAACTACAACAGTTAATCCCAAAAACACATCCATCTTAAGCTCCAACTAGAGTCAAAAGTAAATGTAACAATCATTTTATTGCATATTGGAGATCCAGCAATCATGACTAAACAGAACGCCTAATATGAATATATATATATATATATATAGTGTAGTATCTAAATGATCACTTCATTTAAAAACAGTCATTTAGTTTCCATTCACACATTTCTATTTTATTTGTTTCATTCCCCAGTCCAAGCAAAGAGAAGATAGGAAAGTTTAGCATGGAACCTCAAAATAAATACTAACTTTAAAACCAGAATGCCAATGACATAACTGTGGGTGGAACCTTGAAACATAACAAAGCTAAACTGCATTATTAAATATTGAAGGCACTAACCTCACATTACAACCATCGAAGCTTAAGTTGACTTCCTACAAATAATTTTGCCTTGAGATCAAAAGAGCAATTAAACAGTAACTAGGTATCAGAATGCTGCAAAAATTAGAAAAGAAATTCAAGCCTGAGGCCTTTCAGAATTAAGTTCATGCCAGAAGGCAGGTTAAGCCGCTAAACTAACTTTCTCGGTCTCGACAACCTCTTGCTCCATTTCCTTCACTGCTCTAATTAGGGCCCTAGTGATACCCTTGAGATACAAGCCATTCTCTTTCATTTCCTCTAGGAGCTTCTCCGCCATTTGCCAATCCAAAGCCTTCAGGCACAGAGACTGGATCAACTTCTCATATTCATCAACAGTTGGTCGGACACCAAAGTCCTTCATCTCTGCCAATAATTCCAAAGCCTTGTCAAACTGTTCTAGCTTGCAATATCCCCGTATTAGAGTATGGTAAGTTACAGGGCTCAACTCAGAATATTTCTTTTTAGCTTCTGTGAAGACTTTCTGAGCCTGTTCCATCTCGCCACCATTTGCGTAGGCACTTATAACAACAGTATAAGTATATACATCTGGTCTTAAGCCTCTAGTTTCCATAAGTTTCATCATCTCCAATGCCTGTTCCATTTCCCCAATTTTGGAATATCCTGTAATAACATAATTGAAGACAGCATTCCCAGGAGGTGGGCCATCTGCAATCATTTTTAAGACCAATTGCTTGGCTGCACCAACATCTTTGATTCTGCATAAGGCCTGAATGACAGCTGAATATGGCTTTATTGTATGTTTCTTATCTTCAACAATATCCTCTAACATCTCCAAAGCTAATTGTACAGTTTCATTATCTTGACTAAGTTGACCGATCAAAAAGTTAATAGAAGATGTTGGTATATGCTGCTTTTTCTCTCTTGCTACCACATAAACTGCATGGGCAGCTTTAGCGTTTTTCCCCTTGCAAAACCAAGATATAATCTTACCAACTTGCTCACCAGCAGGCACGCTTTCAATATCAAGCATCTTTTGACACACAGACCAAGCCCAATCAAAGAAAGATCGCCTGCAAAGAGCTTCAATTGTAAAGTAATAGGTGTCTGCGTTTGGCACACACCCTAGTTCCTCAAAATTATTGAAGACATCAAATGCAGCTTTTCCTTTGCCCAATTTTGAGAAGGAAGCTAACAATTCATTAAGAATCTCCACCTTCAGCACTCCATTCTCTTTCTCGTTGATATCCTTAATTAAATCCCACAGGGCGTATATCTCTTTCTTCCTGAGAACACTGCATACAGCCAAAACAAGAGATTCTACAACAGCGGTGGTGACCTTAAAAGATTTGTCTTTCCAAGCCCACCTGAAGAATCTGATAAGATTGTCACCAGCAACTAGAGGGGTTTGAAGTACTTTGATCATGAACTCTTCATGTAGAATTAAACCCAGGTCATTGAGAGACGACTCCAAGGACCCATCAGGACTACTTTGAAGAAGAGACAACACATTCTCCAACTTCTCCAGATCGATCTCGTAAACCTCTTCTTTCCCCTCGTCTTCGCTCTCCTGGCCAAAACCAGAAGCAGAATCATCCATCTGCGCACCCCCAGTTTCTTCAAGAGACTCTTCATGAGGCCCATTATCCGATGGGGCATCATTGCCCATCTGAGCACCATCATATTCATCAACACCCCCAGAAGAATGCACTGGAACTTCATGACTAAAATCCTCCTTGGTAGAATCAGTAACTTGCGATTCAAAATGAGAGTGTTCAGCTGAATGCTGGGAAAAGAATCGAGGGCTCTCGCAGAGACAGGATATTTGCGGAAAATTCCATGCAGATAAGTGAGAAGATTGGACTATATCTACTAAGCTAGAATGAACAGCCGTCACCTTAGGGATTCGGATTCGGGAAGCATTGAAGTTCCGAAAAGCTTGTCTTGCAAACGCCGACCTCCACATCCTCGAAGGAACGCGGGAAGTCTCGAAAGAACTCGCTGCCGCTGGCTGGACGAAGGTGCTGGAACTCACTCGCAAGCTGTTGCAAGGAGGGACCGAGGGCGAGGGGAACGGCCGACGGAGGAGGAGGAGGAGGAGGAGGGAGGAACGAAGACGACAAGAACGGCCGACAACGGAGGAGGGAGGGCGATGTGCGACTGCCAGCGCCTGCGTAGGGTCGTTTGTGAGTGATAGGGGTTTGATTTGGGAACCAAATGAAATGAGTAATGAAGTTTAGCCCAAAACGCTCATTTGATCGAGGATTCGTTTGCTTTAGTTTTTTATTAAAAAAATTTACTTTTTTTATTTTTTAAAAAATTATTTCATAAGTTTTGACTTTGGTTGTTTAATATTTTTTTAAAGAATCAAAATATAAAAAATATATACTTCCTCCTTTCAAAAATATAAAATATTTTTAATCGAATCTTATCTCTCAATCAAGTTGTTACCTACTTTTAAACTAATCCTATTTTTTTATATTTACCTTTATTAAATATCTTACAATAAATATAAAGTCATTATCAATAAGGTACCTTTAAAAAAAAGGCAATAATTACACCTTAAAAGACTAAAAATGCTTTACATTTTTAAACATCTAACTCCTCAAAAAATACCTTACATTTTTAAACAGAGAAAGTATTTAATTATTTTAAAAAATTATTCTAATGGCTTTTGAAAATAAATAAATGCGATAAATGAAAAAAATGTTTTAAAAATACAAAATATATGAAATATCATAACATTTAAAAGTATCTAATTAATAATTACTCCCTCCATTCAAAAATATAAAATATTTTTAACCGAATCTCACCCCTAATAAAGTTATTACCTATTTTCAAATGAATCCTATATTTTCATATTTATTCTTATTAAATACCCTACAATAAATATAAAGTCATTATTAATAGGGGCACTTTTGAAAAAAAAACAATGATTACTCTTCAAAAGATTAAAAATACTTTATATTTGTTAACATCTCACTCCTCAAAAAATGCCTTATATTTTTTAATAAAGAGAGTACTTTTTATTATTATAACAGAATATAATAATATTTATTTTTATAAAATCTCTATAAAATATTTTTTAATAAAATTTTTAAATTATTTAAAAATTATTTGTTTTTTAATCTCAAATAAAGAAGTCTTAATGTATGTAGTTTCACAACGTGTGTGTGTATTATGTATGTATATGTACATACATGTATATGTGTATATATGTATATATATAATCCATTAATACACATAATTCTACCTTACATAATTTTGATTTAGGAATTAAGCCATCGCAACATAGCACACATGCTATGAAAGAATATCTATAGTTACTTTCACTCATCGCTTACGCAAACAATTCAGAGAGACATTTCCAAGCACAACAATTCTCAACGATAGTCTACAAGTCACAAGATTCATATGCATATACACCATCCATTTAAAAATATAAAATATTTTTTTATTAAATTTTATCTCTCAATAAAAATATTTATTTATTTTTAAATTAATTTTATCTTTTCATATTTATTCTTATTTAACATTCTATAATAAATATAAAGTTGTTCATTAATATGAATACTTTTAAAAAAATAATTACATTTTAAAATATTAAAAATATTTTATATTTTTTAACATCCAATTTCTCAAAAAATATTTTACATTTTTAAATGAAGGGAGTACAACATTATTATTATAAGATTCAAAAGTTATTTTAGAGTCTCTAGGTTACTCTAATGCTACTTTAATATTACTCTAGTACCTTAAAGTTAAATTATAAAGTGAAACTCCTCTATCCCCAACTTCAATCCCTTTTATGGGAGGAGAAAAGCAAATTTATCTACTTTAAAGAGGACCCTCTTATCATGCACACATTAAGTTATCAATGTTCTAATTCTTCATTCAAAGTCCAATATTCACTTTGGATTCAACTAGATATTAATGGGTCAATTGGTAGACATTAACGACTATGCTACTTATAAAGGGTTTATTTGCAATGATCAAAGAAATTTGATCAAGTTTTTTTGGATACCTTAGTCACTACCCAACATTGCAGTTAAACTTTTAGATATTCTAATAGGACTTAGCTTTTATTGGAGTGAAAATTTTACTAAAGTTAATATTTATTCTGATTCAATTGAAGCTCTCATACTCATTCAACAATTACAATCAGAATCATCCTTTCTCTTGTGCTATTGATATATAGGATCAAAAACTTAGTTATGAGAAATTGGATTGTAACTTTTGAACATATTTTTAGATAAACGAATAGGTGTACTGATTGGCTTGCTCGTCACATACCTAATTTAGGTATTACTCTCTTCATCCCAAATTATAGAATACTTTTAGACAAAATTTTACATACCAATAAACCTCATTAAATACACTTAAAAACATTATCTTTTCAAAACAAAAATATAAACTTTCAAAAATATCCATTATTTAATATATTAAAAAGAGAAAAGACAAAAATTAATTATAGAGAAAGAAAGGGTAATATTAGAATTTGTGCATTAAATGAAACATTAATATATTCAAAGTGTCTTATATTTTGATATGAAAAAACTCCTTCAAAAGTACTCTATAATTTAAAACGAAGTGAGTACTATTTTTGTTGATCCACCTTTAGGACACAGAAGCATCATTTGCTATGACATGAGCTAATTATTCCTTTGCATGATTTTTCTGTGGTCTTGTATTAAATTAAAAAAATATTGAATCCCCTTTATTTCTAACTCAAATTTTCCCTTTCCTTACCCAAAAAAAAAACTAAATTTTATTAACTCAAATTTTCACTAACTTAAGACTCTAACGAGCTATTTGAGTTTAGAGTCTTAGTTTAACTTTTATTATCTTAAATAATCTATAAACTTCAAATAAATCAGTAAAAAATCTCATAGCTAGTCGATTCAATTTGATCAAATACCATTATCAAGATTCCCAAAACCTAAGCTTGGAAAAACTTTGTCATCAACCCACAATTAAATGATGGGGAGACACTACTAGGGGACTTAGCATATTTGGTTTATATTCTCATTTTTTTTTAAAATTGTTTTATAATATAGTTTTTAAAATTATTTTTCAAAATAAAAAAAGAAAATATGTTTGGCTATTTTAATTTAAAAAAATTTTAAAATTTAAAAAATTGGCTGATAGTGATTATCAGTTGTAATTAATGGTGATGACTTATGATAATTATTAGTTAAGGTAACTGTAGTTTTTAATAATTAAATATAATGTGTTTTAAAAATAAGAAAAATAAACAAAAATAGCTTTAAGATGTCTTTATTTTTTTGTTTCTAAAAACAAAAAATGAAGACAATTTTAAAAATAATTAGATTCAAAATACTTATTCAAATAATTTTTTAATTTTTTTTGTTTTTAAAAAAATCTGTTTTTTTAAAAAAACAAAAACCAACTAGGCCCTTACACAGGACGGGCTTTTTTATCCTAGAAATAGAGACATCTGATTTTGCCCCCCTTCTTTTTTTACCCCTTGTAATCCTTTGGGTTATGCATTATTAAAGCCTTTGCAATACCATGTAATTATTATTGTCTCCTTTTGCTTTTAGTTTGAAGGCGCTGTTCTTATAAGGCTCTATATTTTTAAGCAAAAGTCTCTTGTTTACTTTTTTCCTATTTTTCTTGTACAGTGGGGAGCAAAGATGCATATAGGCCAATGCTTCTTGACTTCAAAGCCTTCATATTTGATTCACCTTGTCAAGTATGGATGCAAAGGCACGATTATACAATTATATATAATTAAAATTCTCACTAAATAGTGAGAAAATATTAATCTCTTGTTATATTTAGCGGGCCTTTTTTTTTTTACTGCAAATATAGTAAAGGACATAATTCATTGCTAAAATGTAATTAGCAAGAGATAAAATGTATTTAACGAGAGATTTTTTTCTCACTAAATGTGATTTTTATAATACTAGATATTAAATAATTATAACAAAAATAATATAATAAATTATTTCTATCTCCTTTTGCCCCTCTACCTCACTACATATTTATCTCTATTAATTAGTCTATCTATTCAATCTTTTTCTAGTTGTTGTCTTGTTCTCTCATAATTTGGCACCTTATATATGAATGACCTTAAACAACACTCACAAATCATGCAACTCAATGCTTATAACATTCAATGCCTACACATAGAGAACCACATGCAATAAAATTCAAACAAGTGCCAAATGCATAAACATAGAACCTAGTAGGTTTGGTACAATAATAGAGAGAAATCCTTTCTAAGGCAATGCATGCCTTTTGTTCTGGTAAGTTTGCTCAAGTTTGCAATAACATGCATAGTATTATATCTGGACCTATTTAATTATAAGAAATGAATGATAGTTAAAGCTTCACTGCTTCTTATAAATAGGCTTGGTCATAATATGTGCTTGATCTTGCAGTTTTCCAATAAGAAAGTGAAGGAGTATCGGATTCCTTCCAAGTTGTTACTCCATATTGGATATTATAGAATATCTTTAGTATTTCAAAAAGAGTTACTATAAATTAAATTAATATTAATTTCCATAACCCCTTACTTAAATATATTTATTTAACCTTTTTATTTTTTTAACTGTTTTTTAATTGTTGTTAAGGTGGTTTTACTGCCTAACATTATGAGATCTGCCTATAAAAGGCAGTGCTTGCCACATGTTAAAAGAGAGCTTTGGTACTCTCAACATTTCTCTCCTCTTCTATCATATTGATTCATTGTTGAGTTGTCTGAGTATATTTTGTAAACTTTTGTTGTTCTGTGTCCCTACTTTTAGTAAGAAGAGTCTGTTTAATTCTAGGGAGCTATCATGCGATCAACCCAATATGGCGGAATAGCTTTTAAGGACAGTGTTTTTAGGCATAACTCGGACTATATTTTTACCTATTAGTGCCAACACTCCAATCCCATATGACCTATCACCCTTGACGGCATCACCGGCCATAAAAGACTCCAGCTCTGCCAATTATTTCGGTGTTAGCTTCACCAACAATGCTCCGATGTTTTGATCGAAGTTCTCAATTTTCGTGGTTCCAGGTATGGGGCACATATCGTTTCCCTAGTGGTGAACCCATGCCAATACTTGCTGGGATGGAGTACATCCCTTTCTTGTAGCCTTTTCATTAACCCTCTCAAATGTAGTCTTGTTTTGCTCTAGGTTTTCTGGTTGGAATCTAGGAAAATGCTGCAATAATGAAAAATACATGTACTGATAAGATTATATATATATATATATAT